ATGCGGCTCCGCCTCGGAGGTCTGCGAGTCCGAGGCGCCCAGCCAAGCTCCGGGCGAGGCTCCCCCCGTCCGCAGGGTCGGTGGGGTGGATGGGAGGAGGAGGAGGAGGAGGAGGAGGAGGAGGAGGAGGAGGAGGAGGAGGAGGAGGAGGAGGAGGAGGAGGAGGAGAGAGGAGGAGGAGGAGGAGGGGTGGGAGGAAGGGGAGGGGGAGGAGGAGGAGGAGGAGGAGGAGGAGGAGGAGGAGGGAGGAGGAGGAGGAGGAGGAGGAGGAGGAGGAGGAGGAGGAGGAGGAGGAGGAGAGGAGGAGGAGGAGGAGGAGGAGGAGGAGGAGGAGGAGGCGGAGGAGGCGGAGGAGAGGCGGAGGAGGAGGAGGAGGAGGAGGAGGAGGAGGCGGAGGCGGAGGCGGAGGAGGAGGCGGAAGGAGGAGGAGGAGGAGGAGGAGGAGGAGGAGGAGGAGGAGGAGGAGGAGGAGGAGGAGGAGAGAGGAGGAGGAGGAGGAGGAGGAAGGAGAGAGGAGGAGGAGGAGGAGGAGGAGGAGGAGGGGGAGGAGGAGGAGGAGGAGGAGGAGGTAGGAGGAGGAGGAGGAGGAGGAGGAGGAGGAGGAGGAGGAGGAGGAGGAGGAGGAGGAGGAGGAGGGGGAGGAGCATGAGGAGGAGGAGGAGGAGGAGGAGGAGGGGGGACAGGCTCGGGAGGGAAGTTGCCCGGGGCAGCGTCAGAGGGGGATGGGCTCTTGGCGCTCGAGGTTCGGAGCTCGAGGTCATCGGGCGCTTTTTCGCTGGCTGTTGGCGGCTGTGTGGCCTCGGAGTGCTCGGGGTGCCCAGATCGTCCCGAGCGGCCACCCGGGAGCCGAGCCATGACCCGAAAGCCAGGGGCCAGGGGGGCAACGTCAGGGGGGGATAAGCTCAGGGCGGGGAGGCATCGATACCCCAGTCACCCATTCATCGCTGACGGCTGCCCGATAGCCCACCCAGGCCAGGAACGGACGCGCGGGTCCTCCATCGGGGGCCCATGACCGATCTATCATCTGTCGGAGATGCTTCGCCGATTCAAGGTTGATGTTTCTCCCCCTGGGCCAGTTCCCCCCTGACGCTCTCCTTCAGAAGGGAAGGCAGGAAGTTGGCGGCGCGCACCAGGGGGTGGCGCGAGGGGGGGGGTTCTGAGAAGGCGGGGCTGGCGGGTTCTAACAAGGCAGGCGGCGTCTTGGAGGCCCCCCCGGCGTCCCAGAGGCCCTCTTGGCAGCCTCCGGTCTTCCCATGGGGCCGCCCCCAAGCCCCCATCGCCACCCCCCTCGTGCGCGCCGCCGCGGGGGGGAGGGGCCGTGCCGTAACACCGCAACCCGAACACCCTCACCCCGATGCTGGTACCACCGCCCCACCCCTTCCAACCCGAACCTTACCGCACCGAGCGCGTTCTGCTGCTCGCAAGGCGCCTGACCCGCAGGCGTCCGACAGAATAAGACGTCTGCCTCGATGGGATGGATCGCGAATCCCCTTCGGCAGATCCGAGCCATTTGCGAGCAGTTGCTTTGCGAGTCGCGGAACGCGCCTGCCTGCTAGCCGGCCGCTCTGCGGTTGATCGGGAGTTTCTGTATATAGAAGGAAGGGTCGTGCGCTTGTCGGCGAGAGGAAAATGATCGAGATGAGAATGAGCGTGAGGATCAGGAGGGCGAGGCTCGCGAGGGGGAGGAACAGGAGAGTGAGGGCCATGCGGGTGACAATCAGGCGAGCGTGGAGCAGGAGGGTGAGGATGTGGAGAAGGAGGGCCAGGAGAGCGAGGATGGCGAGAATGAGCATCAGGAGGGTGAGGATCGGGCGGGCGTGGCGCCCCCCGCTGCCACGCTGGCAATCTCCACCGCCTCCTCCTCCTCCTTCTCCTCCTCCTCCTCCTCCTCCTCCTCCTCCTCCTCCTCCTCCTCTGCCTCCTTCAACTTTCCTCGTCCTCCCCCACCTCGTCCTCCTCCTGACCAGGAGGTCGAGGAGGTCGAAGCGGATGGGCGGGCGAGGGCGCCAGTCGTGTCGACAGGCCCGCCCGCGGCATCGAGCAGTGAGGTGGCGCAGCCGCTGGGCGGCGGCCTCGGCGCCCCCCTCCCTCGGGAATAGCCCAGAGGCTTCCGTCGAGGGGTCGGGCGCACCACTTCTCTGCGCACCTGCCTCTTGCTCAAGCCACGAGTTGCGCGCCGCTGCCCTGACGGGCAGGGCAGGTGGGAGCGAGCTGCAGTCGGTGCTCACGGAGGCCCCCAGCCGGCCTCCCAGGTAAGCTAGCAGTCGCGTCATTTGAAACATTGTCATCCATCAGTGACCAGAGTGCGAAAAACAGATTGCTGTACCTCTCCTCACGTCCCCCCGCCTCCCCTCCCCCCTTGTGCCCCGCCCTCCACCTGGTCGGCTGCGCGGACATTCGCGCACAGGCTGCCCGCGCACGGTCGCCCGCGGTCGCGCCCCCCTCTCTGCCGCGCAGCTTGCCGCCGTGTGCGGCCTGCGTGAGCCACGGGGTGAGGTCGCTGCGCCCTCACGCGGAGGGCTCCCTTCTTTTCGTCTCGCCCACCCCTCGCCGGCTGTTGCCAGGAGTGCCCCTGGCCAAGGGTGCCCCCGTGATCTCCCAGGAGGCGGAACCACGGCCTCGAGAGCACCCTTCACAAGGTCCCTGAGGGCCCCAGGGGCTCCAGACTGGAGCGAAAAGCTGGAGGCACTGGGCGCGGGGCATGCTGCCAGACCCCCGACGTCATGATTTTCTAATAACGTCGACTCTGGAGGTCTCGACCCATTCCCCAGGAGGGGTCTTTCACCCTGGATCGTCTTTTGACGCTCCCGAGGCCCGGCAGGGGCTCCCTCAGGCCCAAAATAGCGGAAAGCCTCCCGCAAGGAATTTTTATTACCAGAGGGGGTCTGGGTTTGGCAACTCTCCTGCGGTCCTCTGTTCCCGTGCCCGTCCCCCGTCAATCCCAGGCTCCCGGCTCTGCGGTCGCTGCCGGCGCTGGCGCGGGCGGCGGCAGGGCGCCGGTTTCGCAGGCGTGGCACCGCGGCGAGGCGCCGGGCTGCCTTCTGCTTTCCTGGCACCGCAGGCTCGCCAAATGAGAAGTTGGCGCGGCATCGGGTGCCCCACGAGGAGGGGGAGGAGGAGGAGGAGGAGAAGGAGGAGGAGGAGGAGGAGGTGGAGGAGGGGGGAGGAGGGGGAGGAGGGGGAGGAGGGGGAGGAGGGGAGAGGAGGAGGAGGAGGAGGAGGAGGAGGAGGAGGAGGAGGAGGAGGAGGAGGTCAGCAGTTACATGAGCTCAGCAAGTACTTGCAGCGCGTAGAGCGCAGCCATCAGGTGCTCCAGCAGCTATCTCAGGAGGCGCGAGCCTTCTTCAACACAGGCTTGGATTGCCTGCTGAAGGATCAGTTGGAGGAGCAGCTGCAGCGCATCCAGGACCAGCACGAGCTGTTCAGAAGCGTAGCCGAGGCCAAGGCCACCAAGGCCTGGTTGGAGTGGGCTCGAGAGGCCGTCGCGGGTGGAGCGGGCCAATCACGTCGTTTCACGCCCAAGGCACAGGTGGAAGCGCCTCCCACCAGAGGCTCCTGTCAACCAACCGAGCTCGCAGACGCTGAGCTACAGCTGTGGGCAGGCATTTGGACACATCATGGGTTGTCGCCATCGGAGTTGCCTGCAGGTGCGGAGCACTGGCCTGAGCTTGAGCCGATCACCGTGACTCAACTACGACAAGTGTTGTTTACCTTCCCGCCCAAGTCAGCCGTGGGTCAATCTGGTGATGAGCCCAGACAGCTGAAGCATCTCTCTGGCGTTGGGTTGATGGCAATCTCACTGCTGCTCCCTGCCTGCGAGAACCACTTGGGCTGGCCCCCTGACAGACTAGTGACTATTTTGGTCAGGCTGCCGAAAATAGATGGCGGTACGATATTAGTTGGTTTACTGAGCGCCCTGGTCCGCATCGGGGGGGGCGTGCGAGACGGCCAATCTCGGCAGCATGGGCCAAGGAGCATCGCAGTGCGCACAGCTCGGGCACAGGCCCAGGTAGAAGCTCATGAGCGTCGGCCTTTGCGCTGAGCCTGGATAGTGAAGTCGATGTGGCCCTGGGCAACAAGACAGTGACTTTGATTGTGGAGCCCTGGAAACGTATTCATCTCATTGGTCCAACGAATCTCATGAGGGCGGCGATGGCGGTGAAGTATTCGCCGCGCCTGGCATGGATGTTAGTCCAAGCGTGCAGACAGCCGAGAACTTTGCGTGTATGCGACAGTGCATCGGTCTTCTTTCAATGTGAGCAGGGAATCGTGGCTGGATGCTCACACGCTACTACGGTATTAGAAGTCCTGCTTTACAGGTCGATTCGTCGACCTCAGCGATGTGCCCCGCGGTCACCCCACGGCAGCTGGCTGATGGTATTTCTATGCGCTGGGATGGACCAGCACATTGATGCGCAGAGGACGTCGGACAGGCGGCAGATGAGATCCTAGCCACACCCGATGGCTTACACCTGCCAATGCAGACCAAGAAGTTCGGCTTTGTAGCTTCAGATGTGCACACAGAGGAGGTGGCGCGGAGTACTGCGCAGCGACGATCCATCAAGCGGCATCGATGGATGAGGAACCTGGGGCACGAGCTGACCACCGTACAACCTCGGCGACAACAGGAAACTGCACGGGCTGCTGCTTTACGTTTCCGTGTGCGACGGTTATTGGTACTTAAACGGGCGGCTGGGATTCGACGGATGACGCGGATGCCAGCTACTGGGCTCCCGCTGTCAGTTTTGTACGGAGCAGCTGTGATGGGCGTCGCTGAGCATGCGCTCAGGCCCGTCTGGCTGGTGTGCCAGCAGGCGCCAAGACAGCAGCTTAGAATTGATGCGTAAGGAGGTGATGAGTTTGGCTGATCCCGCGTTCTTTGATTCGTTTCAGCATGCTTACGCCATCCCGCTGCTCCCCATTATCTGAGCGCCCAAACAAAACCCCTGAACAGCGTTTTGACCGTGGAGATCCGAAACCCCCGTGGGAAGACACGGTCTACACGGATGAGGCTGGCCAAGGCACGGAGGCTCCTGAAGTGGCCCGTTGCGCCAGGGCCAGTCTGCAGTTGGACCCTGCTGGCCGCCCCTCCAAGGCCCGCTGTGGCAGCCTCCCGGGGGTCCAATCGGTTCCCGGGGCTGCTCGGCGCGCGGGGTTGCAAGCGGTTTCGGCCCCGCCAGCAGCCACTCGCATAGTCGGCGATCACCTCTCGTCTGTCCAGGAGGGCGCCCGATGGAGTGTGGACGAGGCGTCGGCCTCTGCTCGGCATGCTGAGGTCTGGCGGGCCATGAGAACGGGGGCGGCCAGACAGGGCCGATCTCCTCCCATTTTCAAATGGACTCCCACACACAAAACGCCTCAGGAGGCGGCTAGTCCCGGGGTGGGGGACATGGCTTGGTTGGGGAGTGCCCGGCCGGACTTCTTCGCCACCGTAGCTTTGCACGTTGCCATTGCGAGCCCGAACTTCGGCAAAGGGCTCGGGGGTAGGATTGCCGAGGCCGTCAACCGCGCTAAGTTTGCGGCCTGGGCAGGCTATCAGGTCTTGAGCCCCGAGAGGTGGATGCCCCCTGGGAAGGAGCCCCGAGTGCCTTGCTTACCCCCGCAGCCGCCGGCCGCTTCGATCCGCCAGCGTGATTTCGTGCCAGACAGGAATGGCACCCGTTGTAGACTATGGAGCAGAGCTGCCTACTCCGATAGCACCATCCGCGGGCTCTGGGGTCGGCCATGTAAGGCCACCGAGCTCGCGAAACTGAGGGCTTGTGCAATCCTGGCCAGTGTGGAGGCTAGCCGACAGCGCGACCACCAGGCTACGCTTGCACGCGACCCTGCGCCCCGTGCTGCTAAGTCTGGGCCTCGCATTGGCCTTGCCGTGGCAACTGCACCCTCGCGTCGGCGCGAGGACTCGCCTGAGCACGGTCAGCCAGCCAGAAGTAGCCAATCGCTTAGACGCCAGCCTGGCCTTGCTGGTCAAGGCGACGAGGAGGAGGCTGGCGGGTCGTTGTCGCGATTGTCGTCGTCCAGGCGGGGGAGCTCGGAGGGGCAACGACGCGAACTAGCCTGCTGCTTACTGCACGCGGCCTCCCGACCTCTGGTCGAGGGGGAGGGCCCGAGGCCGACGTTGCAGTCTCGCGTAGATTTTTCTTCCAGAAGGGGCCCCAGCGAGCACCGCCAACGCTAGTGCGCTGGAGGCCCCATCTGCAAGCGTGCCGCCTGGGCCCGCCAAGCGTGGGACGAAGCGCGTTGCCAAGCCTGCTGACTTCGCTGCCGGCGCTAGTGATGCAGGCCCTGCGGCAGACAGCGCGTCTTCTCGTCACGGACACGGTCCCGCGCTGTCTGGCCCAGTGGGGCCCCAGCCTGTCGTGGCCCGCGCCAGGCAGGAGGTGGGGGAGCATTTGGGCCACCAGCTCCTTCTCAGAGCACCATGCATTGTTTGCAGACGGTGCGGGGCGTATGCTCGCAAGCAGGGCAAGTTGCCGGGCGCCGAATGCACGGGGGACCTGCCCGCGGTGCATCTGTGTAAGACCCCGGCAGAGAAGGTGCGAGCGAGGCAACGTGATCGCCTCGTTGAAGGTCTCCACCCACGCACGGGACAGCCCCTAGCTTAGGGTCGGGGATATCCGAGGCGCGAGCTTGTTCGCACGCTCTGCTTCGCTGTCCAGCGGACAGCACCCGAGCCTTGCTGGCACTGGGATCAGGTGATCCATCTTGCTCGCACTTTACCTGCGAGCCGCGGGGCCTCTGGATTGCTGTCCCTGGAGGCTCTCTGGTCCAAGGCGGTGTTCGTTCCACCCGTGATTCGGACGCCGTCCATCGCAGACCGACACACAGGAGCACGGCAGAACACGTAGGAGCACGGCAGAGCAGGACCATGGCATAATACACAGGAGCACAGGAGAACATACAGGAACACGGCAGAATACGCAAGAGCACGGCAGAACACACAGAACATCTATTCACACAGTCGCACCCACAGGCGCACGCACATAGGTACACGCACACAGGCACACGCACGCACACGCACACGCACACGCACACACAGACACATACACACGCACGCATACGCACACACAGAGAGGCAACATACGTTCACGCAGACCGCAGGAGCACGGCAGAGCAGCACGGCATCACACAGTAGTGCCGCAAACCACCACGCGCGGACTCACATGCACAGATTCCACGCACGCGCGCGCAAGCGCAAACGCACGCACGCCACGACATTTGCGCGACAGACCAGTAAAAGAGCATACTGCACATACCTAGTGGACAAAAGCGAGGCTTCCCGTTCTTGTCATGTCAGGTTTATGAAAAACGGCCGTCGTCGCCTTTCCTGCTTCTCCTTCGCCTACTGTGCCCATTCGACTAAACTGGCGCTTCCCGTTCTTGTCTGATTAGGGTTTCCTCATCCTCACTTCCCCTGTTGGAATGTTGCGGGAACTTAGGGGGCGCTGTCATGGCGTCGCCACAAGTCTTGGGCCGGCAAAATGGGAAACGGAAGCATGAGGAGCACGAGCACGGCAAGCCAGACGAGGAGGCAGAGGGGAAGAGGGCATAGAAAAGGAGGTTCGAGACGAGCATGACGAGAGGGACATGCATGATACAGATGATGATGGATATGCGAGAGGGGAGTGGAAAAGAACATTGAAGATGAAGAGGATGAACCATTGGGAGAAGAAGCGCCTGTTGTGGCCTCTGGGGGCGCCTTCGGGCCATCTTGCAGGCCTTGTGGCGCCTCCTGGGGCTCCTCGGGGGCCTCTGAGGAGTTCTTGGGCCCATCGCGGGGGGAAGGGCTCGGTACGTCAGCTCGTCTTTTCCTTTTGGGCCTCTCGTGAAGCCTTCGTTGGGCTCTCTTGGGCCGTCTTGAAGGCTGCTGGCGCTGTCTTGGGGTTGTCTTGGGTCCTCTTGGGCCATCTTCGAGCCCTTTGGAGCCTCGTGGGCCGTCTTGGGACTACCTTGGGGGCCCCGAGGGCCGTTTTGGACGCTGCGAAAACGAAATAGGCGAGCATGCTTAAGATGTCGGTTTTCTTCTGGAATTGGGACAATGTTAACCTCTTGAGTCTCTCTTTGGCTGGGACCGTCTCGAAACCATCTGGGACCGTCGTGAGGCTACCTTGGGCCAGCGCGACGCCCATGTGGACTGTCTGGGCGCTTCGTTTAAACCCTCTTGGGCCGTCTTGGGGCCCTTGGGACGTTATGGAGGCACTGGGGATGCGCTCCGGAGATCCCACCCCCCACCCCCATGCCCCGGGGGCCCAGCAGTTGTCCACCGACGGGTTCCGCACAGTTCCGACTTGCGGGGCACCCAGATGTGGCCAAAAGAGGAGATACGCTGGCCCTGTGGTTGGGTCTCCCCTCGCCCGCGGGCCTGGGCCTCCCCTCCCCGCCTGTCCCCCGCGGGCCCCCCCGCCCCCGGCCGCCCCCGGGCCTCCCCCGTGCAATCCGATTCCAGGCCCCAGGGGACTCCCAGAACCATAGTCCTGGCGGCCTCTGGGGACCTTCCGTAGATGGACGTGGAAGTGCTGGAGGTCCCTACAGGCTGCTCCCCGCTCGTAGAGAACTGCCTCTGGGGACCTCCCGAGCTCGGCGCACGCGGTGGTCTGATAGTTTCGAGGAAAGCGGCGCCCATCTCTTGGATGCCTCTTGGGCCGTTTTGGAGGCCTCTTGGGTGATCTTGAGGCCATCTTGGGGCATCTTGGGGGCATCGGGGCCCGTCCTGAAGACATCTTGGGGCCATCTTGGATTCTCTTGTGACCATCGTGGCCATCTTGGGGACCATCTTGGCCGTCTTGGAGGCCATCTTGGGGCCGTCTGGAGCGGGAAGACCGACGACCTGGGAAATTTACGGGTCCTGGTGGAGACGAGTTTTTTGGGACGCCGAACGAGCCCCGCAGTCCCTGCAGGGTAACACGGGCGCCCCCTCATTCCTATCTGCAGTTGCGGGGCTTGGGTAGACGACACGCCCTTGAAGTCCAGACGCCGCTCCACTTCTCTGGCCCCTGCCAGCATGATTCCAGTTCCCCTCATCGTCTCCCGCTCTGGACTTTGTACCCTTGCCCTCACCTGTTCCTGCTGCTACTGTAGTGCCGCAGCTGCTGCTGCTGCTGCTGCTGCTGCTGCTGCTGCTGCTGCTGCTGCTCCTCATCCTTCTCCTTCGCTTCTTCTCTCCCATTTCTCCTTCATTCTCCCTCCAGCAGGCGCGCGTGCTACATAGTCTTCCAGCGGGCAGGCTCAGGCGAGATGGCACACCAGTGGGCAGCGATGCTGGATACAACGCTAGCGAAACTCCCCCGTGTTCAGACACATGCTCAGTGGCCCTCCAGTCGGCAGACACTTTGTGGCCACCTGGTCGTGAAAAGCATAGTAGCGTTCGCGGTCGGACACGTGATCAGTAGCTCTCCAGCGGGAGACATGCCAGGTAGGCCTCGAGGGACCCAGCCGCCCCGTTCAACAAGCGGCTCTTGCCGAGTAGCCCACCAGTGTACCCTACGGGCGGGCACGCGCCGCATCACCCTCCAGCAAGCGGCAAGCGTGGGCGACGAGGGATCTGCCAGGCCACGCTCCGCCGCGATGTAACACAGCACATCGTCAGAGGTCTGGGTCCCCCTCTCTCCTCCTCGTGTCCTGGCCGCCTGGCCCTCTTCAATTCCTCCTCCTCCTCCTCCTCCTCCTCCTCCTCCTCCTTGGAGTGCCGTGGAGACTGGGTGTGTGCGCGTGTGTGTGTGTGTGTGTGTGTGTGTGTGCGTGTGTGTGTGTGTGTGCGTGTGTGTGTGTGTGCGCGTGTGTGGCCTCGCGTTGCACACGAAAGTACACTGCATCGTCGCGGTCTTGGCACGCAGGAGGACTGCGACGATGACCTGCAGGGCGAAAACGGCCTGCCCCGAACGGTCGCTCGATGGGCCACGCTGCACCACACCTACAACTTGCTCCGACACCGTCCAGGGCCGCTGCAGAGGTGGCAGAGGCGCTGGCGCGCGCTGCCGCCCACCGCGTTCAGGTCCGACCGATCTGCCAGGAACCGCAGCCCCCTGGGTTGGTGACCTACGCGGGCGGCCCAGCAGCATTGGAATGTCATCAGCCCCGGCGCGCACTGCCCAGCACGCCCAGCGGCGCCCAGTCCACATGGCGCAGGGGAGGTGTCCTGCAGATTGTCCCGACAACTATTACATCTACTCTGAGCGGCCTGGCGCGCCGCCGCTGAGCTCGTGCATCATTTTATAGTACGGGCGCGCCTCCTCCTCCTCCTCCTCCTCCTCCTCCTCCTCCTCCTCCTCCTCCTCATCCTCCATTCTTTATCCTTATAAGTAATTTCTCCCTGCCGCACCCCGAAGCCAGTTTTTAGGGCGGGCTGGGCGTTTCGAATGAGACGTCCTCACCATTTATGACCTTGAAGCTAAAACATTGGCAACAGCTTCGCGAATGGAGGGCGGGTGGTTTGCAAAATGTGGCTCTCGCCTCGGCGCCGCGCACATTCGTTTTCAACATTTGCAAGAGCTTCATGGATTGAGGACGGGTGGCTTTCAAAATGTGATTCTCGCCTTAGCGCCGCGCACATTCGTCTTCAAACATTGCAAGCGTTTAACGGATTGATGGCGGGCCGTTTTCCAAATGTGGTCCTCGCCTTGGCGCCGCGCACACTCGTCTAAAACAAATTTGAAAGAGTTTCACGGATTGAGGGCGGTTCTTTTTGAAAATGAGGTTTTGGCCTTACTTCCGCGCGCATTTGTGTTCATTTGTTTGCAAGGTTCTCACGGTTTCCCATGGCCAGTGTACCAGGAAATGGTGTTTGGACGATTTCAGGATCATGCGGGTGCAACAATTACGTTGAGTCGCGGTGTTGACGTCCCAGACACCGCTTTCTAGCACGGTTCCGGATTGTCAAAACGCAACAGTCAGGTTGATCCGTGGCGTTGGAATTCCGAGAACAATGTTTTGGCATGCTTCAGGGTCTTCAAACGGTTGTCTTCCAACGAGGCAGTTCCCTCAGTGGAAATGATCCGTTGTAGGGGCCTCTGAAAAGGGAGCTTGGAGGGAGGGTTTATTCCTTCGTCGTTGATGACTCTTAGGTTTACACTGGTCCTCCTCCTCCTCCTCCTCTTCCTCCTCGTCCTCCTCCTCCCCCTCCTCCCCCTCCTCCTCCTCCTGGTCTCCCTCCTCCTCCTCCTCCTTCTTCTTCCTTCTCCTCCTCCTGCTCCTCCCTCCTCCTCCTCCTCCTCCTCCTCCTCCTCTTCCTCCTCCCCCTCCCCCCCTCCTCCTCCCCCCCTCTGCCCCTCTTCTCCGTGCGCAGAGGGGCACGTCGGCGTCGGCGGCCTCCTGTCGCCGCCGATGGCTGCGGGGAGTACCCTGTCGGCTCGCGGCCTCGGGCGGCTGCGGTCCAAGGACAGCGGCAAGGGGCGCCCCGTTTTCGCGGAGGGGGGGAAGGAGGAGGAGAAGGCGGTGGCGGCAGGGAAGGATCTTGGGAGGAGAAGGAGGAGGAGGAGGAGGAGGAGGAGGAGGAGGAGGAGGAGGGGGGGGGGGAGGAGGAGGCGCCCCCTCTCATCAGAGGATGGCAAGGAATGGGGATTGGGTGGGAGGAGGAAGATGATGAGGAGGCGCGGGTGGATGATGATGATGATGATGATGATGATGATGATGATGATGATGATGATGATGATGATGATGATGATGATGATGGTGGTGATGATGATGATGATGATGGTGATGATGCTGATGCTGATGCTGATGCTGATGCTGATGCTGATGCTGATGATTATGATTATGATGATGCTGCTGATGATGATGAGGAGGAGGATCATGAGGGTGATGGTGCAGATGCTGATGCTGATGATGGTGATGACGACCGTGACGATGCGGGTGATGTTGATAATGATGATGATGACGATGGTGTTGATGTTGACGCTGATGATGCTGATGATGATGTCGATGCCGAGGATAATTATGATGATGCTCTGGATGGTCATGGTGAACATGAAGGCGATAACGATGCCGATGGTGATGATGATGATGACGATGATGGTGCTGACGATGACGATGATGTGGATGGTAACGATGGTGATGAAGATGGTGATGATAGTGATGACGATGCTGAGTATACTGGCGACGGCGATGACGGTGATGGTGATAGGGATGATCATGATGGTGATGGTGATGGTGATGTTGTTGATGCTGATCATGATGGTGATGCTGCTGATGCTGCTGATGATGATGATGTTGGCTATGGTGATGGTGTCGCTGATGATGCGGATGCCGATGGTGATGTTGATGATGCTGCCGTTGCTGATGGTGAGGATGGTGGTTGTGGTTGTGATGATGATGATGCTGATAATGATGGAGATGACGATGTTGGTGATTGTGGTGATGGTGATGGTGATGGTGCTGATGACGTTGATGATGACGATACTGATAACGATGCTGATGATGATGGTGATGACGATGATGATAGAGATGATGATGTTGATGATGATTATGATAAGTGTGATGGTGCTGGTGATGATTATGCTGCTGGCTGCTCATGGTGACGATGATGCTGATGATGATCTGCTGCTGCTGCTGATGATGATGCTGATGATGACGATGACGCTGATGATGATGATGATGATGATGATGATGATCATCATGCTGGCGCTGATGATGATGATGATGATGATGATGATGATGATGATGATGATGATGATGATGATGCTGATGATGATGATGATGATGCAGGTGATGATGGTGATGGTGTTGGCGATGAAGAGGAGGAACAAGAGCGGGGCGCTTGTTGACTGGACCCGTCGTGGCAGAGCAGCGCGTGCTTGGATGGGGACGGGGGGGGCGGGGAGGGAGGCGCCAGGTAGGGTGGCTGAGGGAATTGGGGGGAGGGAGGATGGGTGGGGAGGGGAAGGGGGGGTGGAGGGGGGAGGGGGTAAGTAGAGAGATAGGTAGGTCGGGCAGGACAGCGGTCTGGTAACAAGATTCGGGAATATCTACCCCAGCCCCGCAGGCCACGGCGGGGTCAGGGAGTCTAGGGGGTTCGGGGAAATCGAAGAGGAGAAGAGGAGGAGGGAGGAGACGTGGGGGGAGGAGGGAGGAGGAACAATGGAGGAGGAAGAGGGGAGGAAGGGCCAAAGAGAACGGAGGAAAGAGGGACAGTGAGGGAGGAAGGAGGGAGGGAGGGAGGGAAGGGAGGAAGGGAAGGGAGGAAGGGATGGAAGATGGAGAAGGAGGAGGAGGAGGAAGAGGAGGAGGAGGAGGAAAAGGGGGGGAGGATGATGAGGAGGAGGAGACGGAAGGTAGGAGGAGGAGAAGGAGAAGAAGGTCGAGCAGGAGGAGGAGGAGGAAACCCGGGAGGAGGAGACGGGAGGCAGGAGGAAAGGCGAAGGGAGGCGGGAGAAAGGACGGAGGAGAGAGGAGGGAGGGCGGAGGAGAGGGTGTGAATAGGGGAGGATGAGAAAACGAAAGGGGGGAGCGGGGGCATGAACAGCAGCAGCAGCAGCAGCAGCAGCAGCAGCAGCAGCAGCAGCAGCCCCACAACACCTCTCAACCCTATCGTTCTCGTTCTAGGCGGCGTCCATCGGCGCTTTCCCCACACCCCGCCGTTCCTTGGCTTTTGACCTCCTCCACCGCGTCCGCCTCTACCTCCTCCTCCTCCTCCTCCTCCTCCTCCTCCTCCTCCTCCTCCTCCTCGTGCTCCTCGCCCTTCTCTCCTCTGGTGTCCACCTGAGTCGCCGCCCGCCGCCGCCTCCTTCCCCCGCCCCCTTCTCTTACACCTGCTCTTCCTCCTCCTTCCCCCCTCCTTTCTCCACCCAGCGTCCTCATCAACTTGCAATCCGCAACTGGTTCCCTCTCCCACTCCTGCACCCAACGTCCTCATCCGCCGCCGCCCACCTCATCCTTCTCCTCACCACGCCGAGGAGGGGGGCCGTGCTACGTCCAGGAAGGTGGCGGCGCCGTCCAAGGACGGCCTCGGCCGCCAGCCCAGCCGCATCCGGCCATGTGGGAAAGTAGGTGTTTCTTCCGAAGGTGCCATGCCTGACTGTGACTGGTAGCCGTAGCCAGGGTTCAGGGAGCAGCGACAAAGGAGGCAGTGCACACCTGTTGCCCTGAGACTCGATGGTTCCAATTGATGCAGGCGTGTTTCGAGCCAACTCTGGCCCTCGTTGCGGCCCTCAGATGGCCAACCCTTCTGACACACAGAAGACGATGGCCTGGGGAAGGAAAGTTCTTTGGGGGGGTCAGGGAGCGACTGCTACACAGCGCGACCGCAGTAAGGCTGCAGACCCATAACGGACAATCCATTGCAGGTTCCGATCGTAAGCTCCAATGTGTGTCCCGATACGGAATACGCGCTCCTGCCACAGTCCATGTTTCTATACGTTCGCTTGTAATTGTAATACTTATATATGACTATATATGATAATGCTATTAATCTGTGTATATAGATGCAGGTGTATGTGTGTGCGCGCGCGTGTGCGTCTGGCTTTCTGTCTCGTTTTGTTACTGTCGCTGGCTCTGCTTCTTGTCTTGTGTTTATCTCCGCCTCCGCTTTGTGGTTCACCTTCTGTCGTGCCTGCCGCCTCTCCGATGTACAACTGGCCACTCGCTCGACACCAAAGCCGCGGCTGCTCCAGGCATACAAGGGGAGAATCAGAGGAGGGCGATGACGGAGGAGGAGGAGGCAGAGGAGGAGTGTGATGACAGAAGAGGAGGTGGACGAGAGAAGAGGAGGAGGACGAGGCGGAGGAGGAGGCGGAGGAGGAGGAGGAGGAAAAGGAGCCAGACGAGGCACAGGATGCAGAGGATGAGGCAGGAGGACGACGACGGAGAGGAGAACAAAGAGGAGGAGGAGGAGGTGGAGGAGGAGGCAGATGAGGGGGGGGGGCGACACGAGAGGCTCCGTGCGCGCCCGCCCCGGCGCTCCCGAGGATCGCCTGGAGCCCCTGGCCGAGTCCCCGACGCCTCCCGCGCGGCAGCCCGCCGACGCCATCTGGGAGGCCCCCGCGGCCCCACGAGAGCCCGCCTGTCCGCCCCCTCTCTCCTTCGGCACCACCTGGCCGATCCCCCATCCCCGTCCCCATCCCCTTCGAGACCCCCTCCTCCCTCCTCCCTCCTCCCTCCTCCCTCCTCCCTCCTCCCTCCTCATCCTCCTCCTCCTCCTCCTCCTCCCTCCTCCTCCTCCTCCTCCTCCTCCTCCTCCTCCTCCTCCTCCTCCTCCTCCTCCTCCTCCCACCAGATTGCCACCACAGTTGGGGATACGCCCCTCGAAGCCCGGACGGAACGGCCTACATCCCCATCCGGGGGGGCAAGTCGGCCAGTGGGGCCCGGGCCACGCCGCCGGGGAGGGGGATCGGTTGAAGGGTACTCATCCATCTTCGCCCGCCGCGCCCCGCTGCGGGGAGCTCGAGCAGCCGCTGACGCCGCGGAGGAGGAAGGGGCACCGGTGTGCCGCTGTCCTTGCCTCGTGTTCGCCTCTCGGGGGGGGCGCCTCCTGGGAGGCCCTCGTCGCTGCGGCTGGACTCGCCCGGAGGTTCTGGCCAGGGCGCACCACGGGAGAGGTTTTGGGGGAGTCGCGACATCGGTGGCTTCTTGCTTCCCCCGCGACGTTCTGAACTTGAACCAGGAAGCTGGACGCGGCCAAGGCGTTAGAGTGAGGCCCACTTTGGGGGCTCGGGAGGGGCTGGCTTCCGGGCCTTCTCCGCAGACTCAGGTCGGGAGGCCGCTTCGTGAGGAGGAAGGGGGAGGAGGACGAGGACGCAAATGAGCAGGAGGAGGAAGAGGAGGACGAGGACGAGGACGAGGAGGACGAAGTGTAGGAGGAGGAGGAGGAGGAGGAGGAGGAGGAGGAGGAGGAGCGAGAGGACGCCGAGGAGGAGGAGGACGAGGACGAGGAGGACGAGGCGGACGAAGTGGAGGAGGAGGAGGAGAAGGAGGAGGAGGAGGAGGAGGAGGAGGAGGAGGAGGACGGGGGGAGGAGGAGGAGGAGGACGCCGAGGAGGAGGAGGAGGAGGAGGAGGAGGAGGTTCCCGGTAGTTTTTCTAAGTCGTGTGATTTGTAAGGGAAGGCGAACCGCCCAGGCTTGGTGCCGAAGCGACGCGCCTCTTGTAGTAGCCTGCCTGGGCGGGCCTTGGTGCCCTGTTCGGCACCGCCCCGCGCGCGAACCGTGCCCCACGGGCAGCTCAGCCCACGCTTCCAGCGGGCGGGTTTGCACGAGGCCCCCCTGGCCATTTTCGCCTTCCCCCCCCTCCACACCACTCCGTCGATCTCGCCCTTGAAGAGTCCCCCCCGTGCTGCCCGCATCTTCTCTCGCGACCCGCGTAGCGTCGCTAGTGCTTGCTGGTGCTCCGGGTCCTGGTCGGCTATCCACTGGTCGGTGGTCGGTACTCGGGGTCCTGGTCGGCTATCCCCCCTCGTCCTCCCCACAGACACCCACACCCCTGTCTGCCCACACGGATCGTGGTCCACAGGGGGATCCATCTGCGGCCCAGCGGGCGGGTCAGCATGCGGTTCCCCCCCGCCCCGCCTGTCCACCTCTCACACGGATCGTTGCCCTCAGGGGGTGAGGAGGCGAACGTGGAAATCCAGCCGCGAACCAGGACATTTCATCCGAAACGGGGAATTGCTTTTCGGTCGAACGGGTAATCTTTCTGGGCGAATGGGACAATTCTCTGGAGGCTCCTGGGATTTGTTCGGGTCGAACGGGGCTGGTTGTTCGGTTTCAGTTTCCACATCCGTAGCCCTGTCACCTAGCATCCACCTCTCAGGGCTTCCAACTGGAGCGCTGGGTCCCCCAGTCCACTGGAGGCGACTGGCAAGTGAGTTGACCTAGTTTTGAAACATGTCTCCGGAGGCGGTGATTTTCAGGCAGGGCGCAGTTTTCCGTTCTAGGGGGAGGGTTCTATCCAAGTGCGGTGCTCCAGAAATGGCCCTGCCATTGAGGATCGAAGGAATTGCCGTTTCTTCCGCTGCGGGAGGCGGCGGAACGGCGGCGGAAGCCCGCGGAAGGATAACGAGGCCGCCTCCGCCGGCGGAAGCTGGCGGAAGGCCACCAGAAGCCGGCCTTCATAAAATATGCGCCCCCAAGAGATGACAACATGTATGGGTGACCTGTCGGTTTTCGAAATCTGAGGCTTGGGGCTGTCGAGCGCTTTCCGCTTCGCGCTCGGCGGTGCGTCCGGGAGTGCCCGGATCGTCCCGAACGGCCGTTGGAGGCCCGATTTATGATTTGAAAGCAACCCAGGGACCGGGTCAAGGGGGGGAACCATCGACCTTGAATCGGCGATGCATCACCGACAGATCGGCGACAGGCCCGTCGATGGCAAATCCCATCGTTCCTGGGCGGGGTGGGACTATCAAACTTGTGTCGGCGATAACTGGGCGATTGCAGATCCTCCGTGAGCTCGCACTCGAAACTGACGGTAAGGATGCGCGATAAGGAAGCAAGCAAGCAGATCTGGGGCGCCCATGGCGAGGCTCCTCGCGCGGGGCTGGCCCTCGAGAGTGGGGAGTGATGGACGAGCGAGGCACGGATGCAAGATTGCAAAGGATTGCAATCCTCGAAGGATTGCAAAAAAACCCTTCGTTTTTTGCAATCCTCGAAGGGTTTTTTTTGCAATCCTCGAAGGTTTTTTTTTGCAATCCTTCGTTCAAGAAGGTTTTTTTGTGCAATCCTTCGGGTTTTTTGTGCAATCCTTTGCAATCCTTCTTTTTGCAATCCTTCGTACTTTTGGCCGGGGTACCCATCGATAGTTACCATGGGTTTCGACCGTGCCCCTCCCCGTCGCTGCCCCTGGCCGACGCGTGCACGCCCCGCGCCTGCTTCCGCGCGCGCCTCGGCCGACCCCCCGTCGTCGCCGCCGCTCGCGTGCCGCCGCCCGCGCGCGCTCGCCGGCGCTCGGTCGTCTGCGCCGCCCGATGGGTTTTGCCCTATGGCGCAGCGTCCGCTTGATCAAACGGCCGTTGCCCTAAAGTTGGAACTCGGGGCGGCCGTGAGTTCTTGGGGAAAGGGGGCGGTGCTCCACAAACGGGCAGGCGTGCGTTGCTCAGGCGCTCGCTCTGCATTCGTGTGTTACCGTCGTGTCTCGGAAGAGGGGGGCTCGAAGGCTGGAGAGAGGGTCTAGAGAAACGATTGCGTTTACAGGGCTCGCTGTCTTCCGCGGGCGTTTGGGTGTTGCTCTTCGGTGCGCGGGGGGAACCTACTCTAGCGTCCGCAAGTTTCCTCGGTCGACCGCTCCTGCAATAATATGGTGGGCTGTCATTTGGCAGAGCGTTCGCCCGATGAACGGCAGCTGCCATGAAATTTACGGTCGGGGTGGCCGAGAGTTCTTCGGAAAAGTGTGGGGGGTCAAACTTAGGGCAGGCGCGTGTCCTTCACGGGTCCGTTTGTATTTTTATGTATGTAGTCGTCGTGCATTGGGGGAGGGGGGTTCGAAGCTTGGGTCGGTTCTAGAGATGCGATTGTGTTTGCAGGGCCCGTTGTTTTTTTCGTGAGCGTTCGGATTTCGTTCCGTGGTGTTTGGGGCCTTCCAGCAACAGTTTCCTCTTCAAGCGTCCGTGGGTTTCATCATTTTGCGGCGCTTGTAATCATGCGATGGCTTGTTTTTTGGAGCAGCGCTCGCCCGGTCGACAGTCGCTGCCCCCAGCTTGCGTTCGCCCGATCCAAAGCCAATTAACTGTCCTAAAACTGTGCACTCGGGGATGCCGAGAGCTCTCTGGCAAAAGAGGGGGGGTCAAAATTAGGGCGGGCGTGTGCTATTCAGGGAGCCGTTTTGCATTATGATGTAGTTTCTGTACAAGAAGAGGGAAGCTCAAAGGTTTGTTAAATGGTCTACAGAAACGATTGCGTTTACAGGGTTTGTTGTTTTTCGTGGGCGTTCGGTTTCGTCCCGTGGTGTCTGGAGTTTCCCAGCAGGAGTTTCCTATTCCAGCGTCCTTAAATTTCCTCGGCCGACGGTTCTTGTAATCATGTGATGGGTTGTGATTTTGCGTGGAGTTCGCCCGATGAGCGGCCACTGCTTTAAAATTCAAAAATTATGTGGCCGGGAGTTATTCGGAAAATGTAGTTTTTAAGAAGTAAGCGTGTGTTATTCGTGTTCATTTTGCATGATTATGTAGTCGCTTCATTGATCAGACAAGGGCCCTAAACGTGGCCACTTCTCCGTGGTGTCTGGTGGCTTTCAACGGGAGTTCGCTTCCTGTTCCAGAGTGTGTAAATTTCCACGTTCGGCGGGCGGAACTTTCTCCGCTCGCCCGGAATATTTTCTTCGTTCGACCGAGGACAGTTTCACTGCTCGCCCGAAGTAATTTCATCGTTCGGTCTGCGGAATGTCTTGGTTGTTCTCCAGGACAGATTTCCCCGCTCGCCCGTCGAATTTTTGTATTATTCGACCGAACCAAATGTTTTCTTCGTTCGTCGACCCCCACAGGGGGTCAAACTTTTTCCCTGCCGCGGCGCGCAGTAAAATAACAAATTCTGAAGTCCAGCGTCAACGTGGATTCTGAGCAGTGGCCAATGTGATTCATGCACTGCAGCATTAGCACAATCTGTGCGGTGCGACCTATGTGGCGCAGTCTCTGTCGTGCACGCGCATACCACAGGCGCAAGCCATGGCGCAATCTATGCAGCAACCCATGGGCGCAAACCATGGCCCCGCAACTCCGAACCCCCAGGCGCAGCGAAAACCATGACGCAACCCATTCGCGCAGCAGCATGCGGGCCAGGCCTATGGCGCATCCCACGGGCGCAGCCGGCGGCCACGCGGTCTCTTCGAATCCTCAGTCGCAGCCCATGGGCGCAGCCTGTGGCGCAACCCGTGGGCGTGCCCTATGGCCACGCAAGCTCCTCGAACTTTAATGCGGGATCCATGGGCGCAGCCTATGGCTTAATCCATGGGTACAACCTGTGGCCACAGAGCGCAATCGAATCCTCGCGAAGAAGTGCGAACCCTTAAGTGCAAGCACTGTCTGGGGAGCGAAGCCCTTCCCCCACTCCCTGCCA